CCTGGACCATGCTCTGACTTACAAAAACCACTGCTTGAATATCAAGCAAAAGGTGGGTGCTAGAAATAATATTATACGAAATTATTGATTATTGTGTATTATCTCAGGATGTCTGCGCCCTACACCCCTGGAGAAATTATACTGTTTAGCCTGACATCAGTCAGGAAGCAGCAGCCAATAATGAAAGGACCAATGCAGTGACATCTCTGGCCCATCCCTTGTTCAGATATCAGCCAGCACACTAATGCCTTAAATCAAGAAACAGCTTTCTAAGATCTACAGATATACTTGCAGGAACACTTCCGCAAGCGAGAATCCAAAAGTGGCAGGCTAAAACCCGGAACCCCAATCCATGGCTGATACTGGATGAGAGACTCCCTGCTGGGCACCCAGAATACTGGGTGACTTGGAAGGTGCAGAACAGACTACACTTTGGCACCACAAGGTGCTGAGCCAATCTTCAGAAATGGGTCCACTAAGTGGAGTCCACAACATGCGAAGGTGGAGAAGAGCAAACCACAGACTACCTACTACAATGCAGCCTGAGCCCTGCCACATACACAATGGAGGACCTTCTTACCACAACACCAGAGGCACTCCAAGTGGTTAGCTTCTGGTCAAAGGACATTTAGTATAATGCAAAGTTTTTAACTTTGTGTTTTCAAATACATGATAACTGTACCCTCAATTTGCTTCTGACCAGATAAACAAATCGTTGAATGTTAAGGTTGTAGGAACCCTTCATATTATATTCTGAGTTGTGGGTGGATGTGGGTACAAGGGCTGTAAATAATAATAAAAAACCCTAATAGCTTTGGAAGATAAGAATTTTTTAATAGATTTGATGAGCCATTTTAACTATCAGAAAAATCCAGTTCAAGTATCAAAACCTAGAAAAGTTCTGGAAGCAGAGAAACTGATTTTGAACATGATATATCCAAGAAATATGTGGTTCCATTCTGATTTATCAGTTGGGTCCACTTGGATCAGAGTGTTGTTACTATGTAGCTTGTCATCTCAATTCCTTGATCTTTTATCTCCAGTTTTTGCTTGTGTCATGTGATTTTTTTAGGCTTGGATAGAGTATGTGATACTATTCTCCATTTTCCTTTAATATTTTATGAGGGTGAAATAACCATGGGTTGCTGAGCACTTTACATTCTGTGAGCCCCAAGCAATATGGTCAACCATAACAATCTCCATGTTAGAAAGTGCGAGAGGACAAATAATTAAACCCATTTGCTCAAGTACTTAAACTGAACATAAATTCTGGGGAATCAATTACATTTATTTCCAGAGGCATGCATTTAAATTCACTGCAATATCTTAAAAATTAATGTACCTTTAGCAAAAAGACAGGTTGCACTTGTTTTTTTTAATCTTAATTAGAGGTATATTGCACATCAGCTTCATTTGAGCCTCTCAATTGGTAAAGTTCTATTACCATTCTATTAATCATTGTAATGTACATTAAAATGGTTAGCAGTGCAAATTTTGACTGGTTACATAAGCCTTTTTTAAAAAAGAAAGAAAATGTGAATGGATATTGTGAGCTAACATGGTGTTATGGTTTGAAAGCTGGACTATGATTCAGGAGACCAGGGTTCAAATCTCGCATGCCCTAGAAGTGAATCCCCTTGGAACAAATCTTTCGAAGAAAACTTTGTGATAGGGCTATCCTATTTATTTATTTATTTATTTATTTCATATACTTGTAGCCCACTCTCCTCACCCCCAAGGGGGGGGACTCAGGGCGGCCTCATAGCAAACACCATTCGGTGCAATCATAATGATAAAAACAATCAACAAACTCATTAAAATGGGTGGGGGGAGACTGTTGAGAAGGCCCTGTCTCTCATCACTACCAATTGTGTTTGCAAAGGTGGTGGGATTGAGAGCAGGGCCTTTCTAGATTATCTTAAACTTCGTGATGGTTTGTAGTAGGAGATACGTTCAGACATGTAGTCTGGGCCAGAACTGTTTAGAGCTTTAAAGGTTAAAATCAGCACTTTGAATTGTGCTTGGTAGCAGATCGGCAGCCAGTGGAGCTGGTGTAACAGAGGAGTTGTATGCTCCCGGTGAGCAACCTGGCTGCTGACCATTGGATACACACAGTCTTCAAAGGCAGCCCCTTGTAGAGCGCACTGCAGTAGTCTAATCGAGATGTAACAAGAGTGTGGACCACTGTGGCCAAGTTTGACTTCCCAAGGTAGGAGCGCAGCTGGTGCACAAGTTTTAATTGTGCAAAAGCTCCCCTAGTCATCGCTGAGACCTGGGGTTCCAGGCTCAATGAAGAATCTAGGATCATTCCCAAGTTGCGAACCTGTGTCTTAGGGTCACTGAGAAGGGAACTGAGAAGTTGTCCTTCTCTGTCACTGAGGAAAGCAGTGGCAAATTTCCTCTAAATGTATCTTGCCAAGAAAACACTATAAACCACGTAATAATAGCAACACAAACTTTGTAGGTTATTTTGTAAATATGCATTTGAACAGCTACACTAGCAGGATCACAGCAATGTTACAGTTACAGTGGAAATGCAGGTTGCTCCTTACTACCTTCAACATAAGCAGCTAAGTCAAGAGTGAAATCAGAGGTTGTTGTTATTATTATTATTGGTATTATTATTTACAGTAGAGTTTTGCTTATCTAACATAAACGGACTGGCAGAATGTTGGATAATAAGGAGGGAATTAAGGAAAAGCCTATTAAATGTCAAATTACATTATGATTTTACAAATTAAGCACCAAAACATCATGTTTTACAACAAACTAACAGAAAACGCAATTCAATACATGGTAACGTTATGTAGTAATTTGTTAAAAACACTTAAAAACAATACAATAATTAAATGAAGAACAATTTTAACAAATATAAATGTATGAGTATTTCAATGGGAAGTGTGGGCCTGCTTTTGGCTGATGAGCTTGGATTGTTGTTGTTGTGTGCTTTCATGTCGTTAGGTTGACCCTGAGTGAAGGCTGGGTAAATGACCTTGGAGGGCTGTATCCGGCCCCTGGGCCATAGTTTGAGGACCCCTGAACTAGAATATATGGCACTGAGGATACAGGGCCCTTCCACACAGCCCTATATCCCAGAATATCAAGGCAGAAAATCTCACGTTATCTGAGTGTGGACTAAGGCCCTTTCCACACAGCTGAATAAAACCCCACATTTTCTGCTTTGAGCTGGAATATATGGCAGTGTGGACTCAGATAACGCAGTTCAAGCAGATATTCTGGGATTTTTCTGCCTTGATATTCTGGGTTATAATCTGCACGCCCTCACCTTTCTTTGAAAACCCTATCCTAGTTATACCCTACCTTGTTCATGACCAACATTATTTTTTAAATTTTAAATTATTACATTTGGCCTGGCTATAGGTTTTTAAATACTTGTATATTATTGTTATTGTTTAGTGTTTATTTTTGTTTTGAGATTCATTTTACTGTTTTGTATTGATTATTTTGTTATTGCCTTTGTTTTATTGATGTACCGCGGGCTTGGCCTCATGTAAACTGCACCGAGTCCCTTGGGGAGATGGTAGCGGGGTACAAATAAAGTTTTATTATATTATCATTATTATTATTATTATTTTATGACTGTGTGGAAGGGCCCTCAGATAACCCAGTTCAAAGCAGATATTGTGGGATTTTCTGCCATGATATTCTGGATTATATGGCTGTGTGGAAGGGCTCTGAATTACTGTATTGCAAAATGATGCTTGCCTAAAAATGCATCCCCAACACTAAATGCTTGGAACGCTCTGGCAGGCAGGAAGGGATCTCAAATGGGACACATCTACACTGAAGAATTAATGAAGGTTGACAGCACTTTAACTGACATCGCTCAATTATGAGAGTTGTGCTTTAGTGGGGCACCATAGCTTTGACATGGGCACCACAATTCAAGAGAGATATTGACAA